ATCTGTCTGCTTTCCTCCCACTGCCACTGCTGCTGTGGCAGAGCTTGGGGCACACCACTTCGGGGAAAGAGGGAAGGGAGAGCCCTGGCAGTCCCTTTACAGAAGGAGTGTCTTCCTGAGGCAGGGGGTCTCCCTAGCAGAGTCAGCATCTGGAAGCTTCACCCTGGGCATGTTTCCTACCCATGGCTCCTGGTGGGGGCCTTGCCTGCATCTGCAAGGGCCCTCTCCTTTCCTGGGGGTATTGCACTGAATCTCTGGGGTGAGGACTCCCTTGGCATGGGGATATGGAACCCCTCCTAGGGCCTGGAGCTGGAGCAGCGGGAGGGTGAGAAGAGACAAAGAGGCCCTTTCATCATTCCTTACCAGGCCAGTCTCCAGTTAGGCCCCTCCTGACAGCCCACCCATCTGGCTGGTAGTCTCCCGACCCATCCTGCTCCCCACCTGCCCTGCTAGGCCGACATTACAAAGGTGTTGGGTGTGGTTGCTGGGGAGACTTTGGCTGGTGCTTCTGCAAGAGTCCTACCAGCTCTGACACATCTTGGGTTTCCTGAGGCCCCAGTGCTCAGTTGCCCTGAGCACTGAGGCCACTCAGGTCCCTGCTTGGAAAAATTTGGCACCCCTTCTAGAGCCAGGAGGTTGGGGTGCAGATGGCTGTCAGAGCAGGACCATGGTGGCCTCAGCCTGGGAGGGCAGCATTCTGTTGGCCCAACATATGTGTTACATATTCCCACGAAGGCTGGTCTGGAACACTAGCTGACAGAGTGATGCTTTGCCAGGCCCTTTTATTTGGGGGCATGTGAGCCTCCAATACAGCTCACTCTGCTCACTAGAGGATGCAATATCCCCCCACTTTTTTGGTCCTTTCTCTACTTTAGTTTCCCCCCCAAAAAAGACTTCCCCCCTAAAACTTCCAAAACTGAAAACAAAATTTCACTTACTTTAATGTTGTGGTTAAACCAAGGGCAATTTTGCTTCCAAGGGATATTTTCTGATTTTCTTAGCTGGAGGGGATGGGCTGCTATGGGGATCTAGTGGGAAGAGGCCAGGGAGGCTGCTAAACACCCCACACTACCCAGTGCTCCTGTATTGGACGTACTGGAGGTCAGAATCTAGAAATCCTGTTTCTGGGTAAGCTAATGAGCCACTCCTAAGTTATTATTTTTTTTTTAAAGATTTATTTATTTATTTATACAAGCACTGCGTACAGTCAGAAGCACAGGAGGGTGAGAGAATTCATCAGAGCCAGAGCAGGGAACAGAACAGGCAGACTGACAAAATACAATGCTGAGGGAAGCAGCGGGCGCAGCAGGAGAGGTCTGCACACCATGTGGGACCCTCGCTGGCGGCCAGAGATCGAACCAGCGCTGCAGAGGCTGCGGGCAGCTTCGCAGCCCAGTGCTCAACTGCTGTGCCACCGGGGGAGGCCCAACCACTCCTAAGTTTCTAAGCAGAAGGTAGACTTTTTCAACTAACTAAAGCATGCTGTTAATCGAGCACTTATTACATACCAGGCCCTGTTCCAAATGCTTGACATTTGCCTCACCTTCTGTGCTCAGATCTTCTCAAGGTTGACTTCCACACGCTTAATTGAGGAGTCAGGTTCAGGGGAATGAGATCATGCAGCCAATCCCGGAACTTTCCAGACCTCCATACTGCCTGTCTTTCCACAGACCAGCAGCTGAGCAAGGACATCAAACCTATTTCATTTTGGAAATAGGTTGTGGGGGATAAATGCTGAGCATTGTGGGCTGGTGAAAGGGACTCTGTTGGGCTGGGAGGTCTGACCCTGTGCACCCTGGAACCACCCTGCACAAACAGGCTGGGCATGAGGTGGGCCCAGTGGCTGGGCCCCAGAAGAACCTCTTGGGCCAGCCTGCAGGCTCCAGGGAGCCCTGAGATAGCCACACCTTTAAGAGGTATGTTGTTTGGAAGACAGCTCAAAGTGCTCACTTGGAGCCCATACCAGCCCTTTGAAATACAGGGCCATGATCATGAACTTGTGGGGAGGGGATAGAGCAGCTGAGCCTTCACAACTGAGAGGTGAATTAGGAGAGTCAGCACCCTCCTACCAGCAGCCTGAGCCTCCAAGGTCTCACCAGAGCCCTGGGAAGTGGGGCCTGCCAACAGGGCATGCAAGTGAGTCTGGTGCCTGGTGACGTCTCAGCGTCCCCGTCCAGGGGAGACCAGAGCCCAGCTGTCGCTACTGTGTGGGTCAGCTCCAGGGGGGTTGGGGAGGACACATTTGGACGCCCTTGTGATATGGATGGCGAGTAACCTCCCCCACACCCATCACCCCTGTTTAACCTTGAGAAAACATCAGAGAAAAAGAAACATACCCAAATTGAAGGAGAGTTTACAAAATACCTCACCAGTACTCCTTGTAACTGTTTCAGCCATCAAACACCCAGGGGCATCTGACAGACATCAGAGGTGAGAAATTCTAGGGCAGCCTAAGAAGCTGTGATGACTAACTGAGGTGGGCTTTGGACCCAGGTCTGGCTGTCTCAGGAAAGCCTCCTCCCTGACACCTCCTGCCCACGTGCGCACCATCTTCCTTTCCCCCAACTCCTGGGGTCTGTGCCCAGAGCTTGGTACCGCAGTCCCTGGGAGCCTGTGGTCTCCAGATTATTTCAGGATGCTGAGTGGTCTCTCCAGAGGGTGTGCCCCTTTCTGCTGGATCAGTATTTGCACTTAGACCAGTTAAAAGGGTGAAAGCTGGCATCAGGAGGCCCCATTCAACTCCAGCTGTGTTGGACATTTGCCATCTGAATTTGCCTCCTGCTCAGCTAGGCAGCAGCCCCTCCCAGCCCCCTCTTCCAGCATGGACCTCCCAGTGTCCCAGACTGGTGGTGGCAGCCCTTGGAGCAGGGGGCACTGGGGGCCTTGATGGTGGTTTGGGGTCAGAAATGAGTAACACGGCAGGAATCTGGCAGCCATCCACCTGACCCACTTGGAGAGAGATGAGAACAGGAAGACAGTGGTCTTGTGTGACTTCCAAATGCCCGAGGCCATGCAGCTGCCACCACCCAAGTATCCCAGTGACCTCTCCTCTCCCCACCCGCGTGTATACATGGGGCCCTGATGCAGCTGCACAGAGAGTGCTTGCCCGAGACCTCATCCTTGCTCTGCGGGTACGTTGGGGGCCCTGCCCTGGTGTGGAAGAAAGCCTGTGTTCTGGGGCAGTGAGGGGAGGGCTGAGATGTCAGGTTATTTAAAGCCATTCTATTGGAAACTATCACTTCAGGGGATCGGCCAAGAATCCTGTTGGAATACCTGTGTATATGATGGGTGGCATCCTTTCCTCCCCATGGTTCCTCTAGGATAGTTCAAATTTGTGACCATGAAGTCCTTGGCCTGCTGAGAAGGGTGGAAGAGGGTGGAAAGAGGTTCTGCCACCTTTTGGGCCCTCCATCATCCCATGTGGTGGGGTGTTGGGGGGCCTGCTCTCCCACAGTGGGTACTGCTCTTTGGTCTCTGCTGGGTCCAGGCGTGGTGCCAGGCAGTCCCTGGCAGAAGCCTGGCTCTGGCTGCTCTTAAGTCTACATCCTCTCTGCCTGAGTGGTTCACTCGCAAGCTGGGGCAGCAGCCAGTTCTGGGCACTGGGAGGGGGGTGCTGTGGCTCCGGGGCACAGTATGACTTCTGCCGCTGCCTGCCTGTGCCCACAGCCCAGCTCTGCCCTTGGCTAGCCCAGGATAGGGGTTGGCATAGAAACAGACCTCTAGTCTGCCTCTGGCTTTCCCTTCCCGTGCGACTATCACATAGAGTTGGCCACTCTCCATTTGGCGCTGTGGACTGATTACTTGACTCATGAGCTGAAGAGCATGGAGAGGTGAATGTGGCAAAACAGGGCTATACTTGAAGCCCCATCCCAGCGCCCAGGAGGCCATGTGGGCAGAAGCGAGAGGCTTCTCCATCATCAATGTGCGACGAACTGCCTATGAGTCGCTCATTATTTCCAGATGTTGAGTTGACACAGGACAGCTGCATGCCAGTCCCGTGGCACCATCATTCCCCACTACTCTGCAGAAACAGGACATCCCAAGGAATTACTCCACATACCCCAAGTTGCCCAGCTCTTGGGGGCAGAGCTGGGATTTGATGCTGGGCCCCGGCTCCCAAGCTACACTGCTTCCCCATGGCTGTCCTGACTGCCCCTCGCTGAGCTGATCGTTTCTCCTCTTAGGCAATCCTTTCTCTCTGGAATCGTGTCCAAGTAAGGGATTAGTTACATAAGTCACAGCCCATCCCATGGACACATTAGAAAGGATGCTTTTCAGTACATAGCAAGTCTCATGAAATGAGCAAGATACATAAGTGTATTCAGTATGGTTATAATTTTATAAAATGAGACACACATGGCAGGAAGCATGTTAATGGTGGTTATTACTTATCTGTAATAATATGGGTGATCTCATTTTCTTGTTTTACTTTTTGGTTACTTTTCAAGGCTTTTAAAGGGAAATGTTTTACATTTAGAAAAAAAGTTATTTCAAAATAAAATAAAGTTGGAGTTGCCCAAGAAGACAACACAGAGTGTGGCATGTTCAGGAGAGGGTCCTGGGGGTTGACAGGCAGAGGCTGTGCCCATCACTCAAGGACACTGTTTTTGTGGCTTTCCGAACAAAGGAGTGGCCACAACTGCAAGGCACTGCCCCAGGGCCCTGGGCCCATGGGAGAAGGAGTTATCCCTTCAGTGTCCCTCAACCTTGACTGTGCCTGAGAATCACCAGGATCTTGTTCAAACACAGACTTGGGCTCAGGAAGTGGGGCCTAGGACCCTGCATTTCTAACAAACTCCCTGGTGCTCCTTTAGCTGCCTGGCCTCTCTCTGCCTCAGTTTCTTTTTCTGTAAAGTAAGGCTAAGAATGCCTGCCTGAAAAGGCCCTGGAAAGGATAAAATCAGATAATATGTCTGGCACCGAACCCAGTAGCTGGCATGGACTATGCCCTTAATGAATCTTGGATTCCCCTTTAACTCACAGCTCTTCTCCCCTTTCAGGTAGATGAGATTTACCACGATGAGTCACTGGGGGTGCATATAAACATTGCCCTGGTCCGCTTGATCATGGTTGGCTACCGACAGGTAAACCCCTCCTGTGGGTAGGCAGGTTTGGAGGGGGATGGGGTGTGGACTCAGAGCTTTGAACTAGCTCTGGTGTGGGAAACAGGGATTGCAATAAGACATTTTGTCTCAAATCAGAACCCGGAGGTCATAAGAATTGGGGCATGAGGGATTTAGGGGCTCCCTCCATTCTGATAAACCAGCAATCTCATACCCTTGCCAACTGAGTCCTTCTCCTTGAAGAATAAAGGAGGAAAGCAGGGAAGAGAGGGACTCACACTGAGGGATGTCCTGCCATCTTTGGGTCCTGGGGGCTGGGATCTGCAACCTCAGACCAGCTTTCTCCCCAAAATGGGGGTGACAACTGAAGTTTCCTCTGGAGACTAGCATATGGATTAACTAAGGTGATGAAAGTCAGTATACTGAGGAAATGTTCAGAACAGCAACCTGCCTGGCAGGTTAGTTGGGGATCAGAGATGTGTGTCCAGTGCTTAGCATGCAGCATCTGGGTGTAGGCCTTGGCATGGGGATATCCACTAAAGTGGGAGGGCCGTGTACCAGGGCAGTTGGAGTCAGACAATTGGCAGTTTGGTACTGGCACTGCCGCCATGGCCCTCTGCGGTGGGAGGGGCCCTTGGGTACCCGCTGTGGTCTGGGACCAACCCCTCTGTTGTGGATGCTTTCTGGTCCTGCAGTCCCTGAGCCTGATTGAGCGTGGGAACCCCTCCCGTAGCCTGGAGCAGGTATGTCGCTGGGCACACTCTCAGCAGCGCCAGGACCCCGGCCATGCAGAGCACCACGACCATGTGGTCTTCCTCACCCGGCAGAACTTTGGGCCCTCAGGTATGCAAGGTACTGTATTTGCAGTGGCCAGGTGTGTGCAGCTGCAGAGCAGAGGCCAAGGCTTGGGATGAGGCGTCTCTGGGGCCACGCTGGGGAGGTACAGACATGGAGCACATCATACACAGACAGACATATGAGTCAATGCATAAACACATGCACACACAGAGCCGCATGGGCAGAAGCACATAGCAATACAGAGACGTGTGTACAGACACACAGACAACACAGACACACGGCAGATGCGTGCACACACAGTCATAAACAAACATAGGCATATGAATATGCATGCACTTGCACAAGCATGTGCACATCAGCCATGTGTGTGAAGACACATGCACATATACTTGTGTGCACATATACTTGTGTGCACATACACACCACACACATGGATACATGCACACAGTCCACACACATGCATAGACCTGTATACTTGCATAGCAAACATATAGCAAACCTCAGACCTACAAGACAACTGGCTCCAAGAAACCTTCCCACCACAGCCTCTCGCTATACCCCAAAAGCATCTTGAACAAAAAGGCATTTCAGCACTTCTGAAGGTTGTCTGACTGGTTGCCTGGCAGGGAGCGTGCCCTGCCTGTCCCCTGTCCTTAATGTCTTCCCTGGCCCATTTGCCCTCCACAACATGGGCCTGTGGGTCAGTCTTGACAGCAGGCCCCTTAGCCAACCCGGTAGCTGCTTAGTAAATGTTGGCCACAGCTGTTGCTACCACATGCCACATGCCAGCCCCAGTGCATTGCCCATGGCTCCCTGAGGCCTGCACGGTCATGTCTGCAGCTTTGCCTGTGTCCTCCCACCTACATGTCCTCTCCCCCACCTTGGGAGGGCTGTCTCCTCTCTGCTCTATGCCCACCTCTCTGCCCTCCCTCAGGTTGTTCCCCTTTAACTACTTTTCCAAGCCATCCCTGCTCACCGCTCTGCACTCTTTGAACCCTGGCCTTGCAGACCCACATCTGATAACCTCCTAACCCCTAGTCCCCTGCTAGGTCACCTGCCTTTCAGTGTGTTGTGTGTGTCAGGGCAGCAAGGGGCCAGAGGGGGGGGAAGTATCTAATTGCTCTGCTTTCTCCATGGATCTAACATATTGTCACCCCTTAGCCTCCTCATAGAAAATGTCTGAAGTTTCTTGACTGACCAACTGACTTGTTAGCTGGAGGTTGGAGGTTGAGTGCACAGGCTTGGGTCCTGCCTGGAAACCTGGCCTTGAGTAGAGGAGAAACTGACAGGCACAGGGAAGCTTCAGGCCAAGAGGGAGGCCATAAAACCTTAGGATGAGGAGGCATGGCCTTTTCTGCAGGTGGGACTGGCAAGAATCCTTCCTTGGGGGCCCTCAAGCAGTGGCAAGGTCAGCATGGTCCTGCAGTGGCCAGCTGGACTCAGACCTCATCATGTCCTGCCTCACCTGCCCGTGACCTCTTTCTGCCTCTCTCCCTTTTCCCCTGGCAGGATACGCGCCTATCACTGGCATGTGTCACCCCCTGAGAAGCTGCGCCCTCAACCATGAGGATGGCTTCTCTTCCGCCTTCGTGGTGGCTCATGAGACTGGCCACGTGTAAGTGACACCCAAAGGGTGGGCTGTTCCAGAGCTTCAAGGAGTTCTATGGTGTGTGAGGCTTTGCCAGAGAAGCTGCCTTGGCTGGGAGGGTGCCCAGCAGCCTGGACAGCAATTCTGGCCCACCTTGGGCTCAGCCTGCACATCCCAGGGCCATGGGGAATCAGAGATAATCCTGCCTTTGAGCAAGTTGGTAGCAGTGTCCCAGCACAGGGGTGATCGACTCTTCCTGGGTAGCTTCTGTCCATCCACCCACACCTCCAGGCCCTTCTGAGACACAGAGATGCTATCCTGAGGCCATCATAAAGAGGAGCTCAGGCAGCAGACCAGGCTGACCACTGGAGAGAGGATGTTTATTCATTTACTCACTCATGTTTAGGAATTGGGCTATAGCAGAGAACTGGAAATAGAAGGTCTAGAAACTGCATGCTGGGAGAAAGCAAAGAAGCCACTATCCAATGGGTCAGAGAGCATCTTAGAAGCTTTGCCTTTGGCATTAAGTGCTAACTCTAAGGAACAGACTTTTCAATTTAAATTATCATATGATAGATGCCCACATGCAAAATTCTGTGTCAAGTGCCACAGGGTCTTGAGACGCTTAAGAGGCTGGCATGAGAGCCCCAATAAAAGAGGCTGAACTGAGCGAGTGAGACCCCAACCTTACACTGAAAGGCCTTGGGTCTGTTGGGAAGAGGGCACATTGTTAATGTTGATGCTGGAGGTCCCTACTGTGGGAGGTCCGTCAGTGGGCAGGGTGGGTAGGGAGGGTTTCCTGGGGCAGCCTTGGAAGCTGTAGGGGTTTGAGGAGGGTACAGAGTACTGAGGAGCAACAGAGTACTGAGGAGCAGAGAATTGCAGGAATAAAGACTTCAGGGTAGAATGACTCTGGCCCAGTAGGGGGAATCTGGGGCCTCAGCTTCTACTTAGCAGCCTTAGAGAGAGAGAGAGAATTAGAGAAAGAGAGAGAGAGAAAGAGAGAGAGAGAGAGAGAGAGAGAGAGAAAGGTGATCCTCCCACTGCATGCTGGGGAAACTGAGGCCAAGAGGTACAGTTTGAAGCCTGGTCAGGGCAAGGTCACCCATTGCTAGGTTGCTTGCTCATCTTCCCAGGGCAGGTGTCCAGGGTGTAACCAGGGCTCCTTTCTATCTTCCACTGCACCTTCCAGTCTTGGCATGGAGCATGACGGTCAGGGGAACGGCTGCGCAGATGAGACCAGCCTGGGCAGCGTCATGGCACCCCTGGTGCAGGCCGCCTTCCACCGCTTCCATTGGTCCCGCTGCAGCAAACTGGAGCTCAGCCGCTACCTCCCGTAAGTTACTTCCGCCCTGGAGGCCAGGATGGGGCAGCAACCTGCCACTCCAAGCAGAGATCACCCTGAGTGATCTCCCCTCCCAACACCGTCCTGCTCCTGAAACAATTCCCGGCTTCGCTGGGCAGACACGTGTTAGACTCGGGAGCTCAGGGCTGAGAATGGGAGTGGAGAGGTTTTGGGTGGGGCAGGGGTGGGCAGAAAAGCTGCACTAACCCCCTGTGGCTGCTGGCCCGGGCCCAGGTGCGTCCTGCATGGTGGGCTGACGTTCCCTTTTCTCTCAGTGCAGTGAACCCTCCAGTTGTCCATGTATCAGCCTGGTCCTGGCCACATAGCATGTCCCTCTCTGGTGGGCGAAACCCAGCCTGTAAGATACCTACGAGCTGCACACCCAACCCCAGTTCTGGGTGCCTCTCCCTGGAGCCCCCCAGACACAGCCATGGGTCAAAGTTAGGGCCTATGCCAGAGGGCATTCAGGGCTGCTGATCTCCTGGAAGACAGCTCCAGCACAAGGCACTGGGTCAGATTCCTGAAGGCCTTCCCTGCTCATTCAAAGTCCATCCTCCGGGGAGGGGAGACTGGGGAATTCCTGCCTCTGCCTGGCTCACCATCCAACTTATGCAGCTCCTACGACTGCCTCCTTGATGACCCCTTTGCACCCGCCTGGCCACAGCCCCCAGAACTGCCTGGCACTGACTACTCCATGGATGAGCAGTGCCGCTTTGACTTCGGCTCTGGGTACCACACCTGCTCGGCGGTGAGTCCCTACCGGTCCTGCCAGCTGGGTGCCATGTCCTGTGACCCAGACTGGTCCACCCAGCCCACCAGCGGGTCTAGCTATGTGCTCCAGGCTAGGTCCACCATAAGGGAGCGAGGTGAACAGGACTCACTCTGCCACCTTCTGCTACACCCCTGCCCTGCCCAGCCCTACGTGTGTGCTCTCCAGCAAGTACAGTGGCTGGAGAATGCTTTGGTGCCAGGAAAGATGGCAGAGAGCAGAGTAATGAGATCCTGGCTGGACTGGTCTGGGAGCTGACCTGTGGGGTTCCTTGAGTCAGAGCAGGCGCTGGGCTCCAGCTGGGAGCACAGTTGTCACCACCTGCTCTTCATGGGCATGGAGGAGGGTTGGGGCTGGCTTCCCACCCTGGTGAAATTCTCCTGCACACACCTCCCTCCAGGGAGGTGATCTCCCTCCAAGGAGGTCAGCTCCCACCTCCCCCCAGGGAGGTCAGCTCCTACCTCCCCCTGCCCTTGTGTCTGAGGAGATAGACACAAGCCATATAACCCTGCCCCAGCCACAGGGCAGAGCAGGGCACAGCCCGGGGATCAGTGAGGGCCACCCAGAAAAGAGAATGAGCAACAGAAAAGGGGAGAGCCCAGGCCAGGTGCTTGCAGAAGGGGTCAGGCCTCAGTGACCCGAGTAGCTCAGCCCCCACCCAGAACGCAACACCCCGCTCGGCTCTACAGAACTGGGAGGTGTCGATGTGCCAGGCAATCCTGGAAGTCATGGCATCTGTTTTGGCTGGAGAATGCGGGGGAGGTGGCATTTTGATGCCCATGTGCTGCCTGGGATGATAGGAGAGACTATTAGGAAATTGGGGCTCTCCTGGAATGCAGTTTCCCACCACCTGTGCTGTGGCAGGTGAGATGGGAGGGAGATGGGAACCCTTACCTTGTGTGGGTGCCGGGGTCTGGGCTGGACCAGTAACCCCTTCAATGCCCACCATGTGCACGGGACTCAAACTCCCCAGAACGATAGTCCCTGATCATTGACAGTGTGGGTCCTACAAAGGTCGGGAGGGCTTAGGGAGAAGACAAGACAGTGTGGGCTGTGGCTGGTTCCTTTTCCTCTGTGCCCTACTGGAGAGGAAGCATCTGGCAGCCACTGGTACTTGGGGTAGAGTCAAGTTGTCTCTGAGAGAGAGAGAGAGAGAGTGCACGCGTGCGTGTGCGTGTGCGTGTGTGTCTGGACGGGCTCCTCCTGCCTTCTTGGCAGTATTCTGGGCCCAGCATCCACCACACCCCCCTCTCCCTCTGTCGCTACCCTTTGCCGCCTGGGCAATGTGGCAGAGCTGGAGCACCAGTGCAGGCCGTGAGCCCGCTCCCCCTGCCACGCAGTTCAGGACCTTTGAGCCCTGCAAGCAGCTGTGGTGCAGCCACCCCGACAACCCGTACTTCTGCAAGACCAAGAAGGGGCCCCCACTGGACGGCACGGAGTGTGCACCCGGCAAGGTACCTGCAGGACGGGGGTCTGTAGCAGGCACAGCCTTTGTGGGGTGTGGGTCCCAGGGGATGCCCTGCCCCCCACCAACTGTGCATGGGGGGTCAGTGCTAAAGGAGAGGTGCAGGCCCCGTGTGCAGGGAAGGCTGCATGGAGGCCTCATGGGAACATGCGCACACTCAACTCTTTCATCTCCCACATGCCACAGTCCTTTGTTGCTGCAGTTTGCAGAGTTGGGTCTTCCATCAGCCCACGCAGCAGGATGCTTATTTCCACTCTACAGATGAGGAGGATGAGCCCGGCCACGGGGAGCTCCGTGAGGTCACCTAGAGAGATTAGCAGAGAAGAGAGGCATGAGAGACTTGGGGCTCCTCCCTGCGCTCCCCCCAACACCTGCCCTTTCACTTGTCACTGGGTGTTGCCCCCTCATGCGGGTGTGAGTACAGGGCTTTGTTTCCAGGGGCGCCTTGTGGCCAGGTGCGAGAGCCCTGAACTGGGGTCTGAAACCCCCCTTTGCTCTATTGCTGGTCCCTGGGTCATCTCTGTGTGGTGACCTTGGGCCATTCATTGAACATCTCTGGGCTCTGGCCCCTGGCCGAGTGTCCTTCTCTCTCTTCGGCGTAGTTCAGAAGTTACTGAGTCACGTCTCTGTCGGTGAGGGAGCGTGGGTACAGTGGGGCGCTAAGGGGTACGATTACTCAGCACCAGCTGTTAGTCTTAACATGGATCCACACCCACCAGTCCTAACATGGATCCACTGGCCTCTGCCCTCACCAGGCTCCTTCCACGCACATGTGCCCATGGTTGCACAGACCCAGGAGGCTCCAAGCCTGGTATGTGATTATCCCAAGAACTGGGGCGGCTACTCCAGGGATTCCAAAGTCCCACCCTCTCCAGGCACAATTCGTACAGCAGTTAGTCAGGGGCTCTCCATTTTGGCTACATGTTAGAAGTCCCCACCCCTAGGACAGGGAGTGGCTGCCCATGGGCACGAGCTATCTCCTCGGGGTGATGGAAATGTTCTGAGGACGGAGTGTGGTGATGGTTGCACAATGCTGCTAGGAAAAATCATTGAATTGTACACTTGAAATGGGTGAATTTTATAGCTTGTAAAGTCTACCTCATTACCCTTCTTTAAACAACTGCTACCCCTAGGGATTCTGACTCAGTGGGTGTGGGTAAAGCCAAGGCATCTGGAGTTTTAAAAGTTCCCCAGGTGATTCCAAGGCTGCGTACCGCTGAGTCATTTCTTGAGAAAGCTTTGCTGCGTGTCTCTGCTGTCACCCTAGAGGATAAAGGAAGGGAGCTAAGTTTGGCTGAGTCTTCCTTTGCATCTGACCCTGCGCTAGGGCCTTTGTAGGTGTTACTGCTTCCATTTCTTACAACAGTCCCATTTCACAGGTGAGTAAACTGAGGTTCAGCAAGGTGGAGTGACAACAAACCACACAGAGCTAGAAAAGGCTGAGCTGGGACTTGGACTCAGGCCTTTGACTCATGCATGTGCTCCTCCACTGCATGCATGAACCTCCCTGTGCGGCTGGCTTGCCTCCGGGAACACCACTACTTGTGACCCCTAGATAGTGATTTTGAGGCACAGTGCTGCAAGTTCAAAGCTTGGTGGCATGGGCACGTTGTCTTTCCTCCACTATCAGCCCTTTATTCCTCCCAGGGCACAGTTGTTATCATCACTGGTAATACGCTCTGCTGTTTCCCAGGGCTGCTTGTGCCAGGCTTTCTCCTTGGTACAGCAGCCCTGTGGGTGGTGTCCACATCGGGCAGTTGAGGAGTGCCTTAGCAAGGCAAGCTCGGTGGCCTAGGATGACCTCACCCCCTCTGATCCATCCAGTGGTGCTTCAAAGGTCACTGCATCTGGAAGTCGCTGGAGCAGACTTATGGCCAGGATGGAGGCTGGAGCTCCTGGACCAAGTTCGGGTCATGTTCACGGTCATGTGGGGGCGGGGTGCGATCCCGCAGCCGGAGCTGTGATAATCCTCTGTGAGTGTGCTTGGCTGGGGTGGGCAGGGCAGAGCAGGGGACACCTCACCTTAGGCTTGGGGGGCTTGGAGGGGAAAGCACTGGGGGCCTGGGCACAAGAGAAGAAACACCCCACAGGTTGGGTGTTTTAATGCCCAAGGACCCCCAAATCATTATTGGTTAATGACCCATCAGGTCTGACATCTGAGATTGGTCTGAACCAGCGATGTGTGCGGGAGAGTCCTTGGAAAGTCCGGGTGGGTCCAAGACTCTGCCCTCCTGGGCCCCCACAGCCCAGTTAAACTTGGAGCAAACACTCATCTAAATGCTCAGTAGCCAGGTCTTCAGAGAACAAATACACATGAAGCAAAACTTCCTTTAATCTTTCTTCACTTACCTGTTTCTAGCATCCAACCTCCACTCCCACGCCACCACCCAAATGTCAGCATTCTGGGGAACAGCCCATTTTCCCTTTGTGTGCCCTCTGTGGCAATCCCCTCCCCTCCCCAATTCTTCAGGCCTGTGAGTGCAGCTGACCGTGGCTCAGCAGCCTGCTTGGCGCAGCTGCAAGAGAGATGGAGCCGGCCGGTGCGGGCGTGCAGGGCAGCGCTCCAGGAACAGAGATGGAAGCGCTGGGCGGGGGCAGCCAGGCCAGGCCCTCCCGGCTCTGGGTAGCGTGTTGAGGAAAAGGAATGGCAGAGTCCAAGGATGGCAGCAGCTCTGGCACCCTCAGGCCCTGTGTGTTCTGCTGCTTCCCTCCATGGCCGGGGCTCAAGCCTCCGGGGCAGCCTGCTCCGGCGCGAGATGCTGTGTTCCCCCCTAGGCCACGGGCCCACGGGAGCTACCCTGTGACTCCCCCCCGCGGGTGAGAAAGCCGGGCTTAGAGGGAAGCCTCGTGGTGCCCACTCTGAGTGAACCACCTTCCGGCCCTGATGGGCTTTCATACCCTCGATCCTAGCATCCATTTATTGAACTCCTCTGTAATAAAAACTTTTTATTTCATGAGGCTTAAGTGAAATAACGTGTTGCTCTCAGCACCATGTCCAGCACAGATGAAGACTTAATAAAGGACAGCTGCTTGTAATACATGACACACTTTTACTAATAACAGTATATCCAGTGCTCGCTCTGGGCCAGATGGATGCTAAGCACTTAGGTGCATCCACCCGTGTAATTCTCCAGCGCCTCTGAGCAGGGCCGGTTACCTCGTGCCCTTGACACTCTGCGTTAGTAACCTTGCCTCATCCTCTTCCGTTAGTGGAGAAGAGGCTCTAGATGGCTTTACAATGGCATTTCTTATTGATTCTTCACAGAATGGTGGGAGGGGGTAGAACAGGAGAGGTGTGATGGTGCCTCCTTTAAGGGAAACAAAGGCACACCGAGACTAAGCACCTTGCCCATTTGCACATGCCCAGGACTCGGAAGCCAGACCTTCTGAGTGCAAATCCAAATGTCTTACTAACCCCTAGTTTATGGTATCAAGTGGAAGTGTATGCAAATAGGAGTGGTTTCCTCATTGATTGAGTACTATCATTTGCCAGGCCTTGTGTTAGGGTAAAACAATGTAAGAAGATGATAGATGATTTTTCTTCCAGTCTAGTTGGAGAAGGTTGTCGACCCTGTCTTCCCTCCCACACCCTCCACCTCCTCTGCACCTACCTTCCCCTTCCCTTTCTACTCTTCTCTCCCCCAACTCTTACTCCTTTCTTCTTCCCCCCCATAGACACACATCCACATGCACACACATGCACGCACACACACGAGGAGGTGGTATATATGTTGGGTCTAGAGGGGTCAGGAAGCCTCATCTCAGCAGTCCCCACAATGGGTCACTCTAGTTTATAGGTTAGTGAAGCCCCTCTTTAGGCTGCTCTAAAAGGCTTGACCATCCTGGTGGCAATGCGGGAGCCTGATCCTGCCAGCCTTCCCTGCCAGCAAGGTGACTGGCCTCTCTGTACCTGCCACAGCCCAGCCTACGGAGGCCGCCTGTGCCCAGGGCCCATGTTCCAGTACCAGATCTGCAACAGTGAGGAGTGTCCGGGGCCCTTCGAGGACTTCCGGGCCCAGCAATGTTCCAAACGCAACTCCTACTACCTCCATCAGAACGCCAAGCACAGCTGGGTCCCCTATGAGCCCATGGAAGGTGAGTGTGCCCTGCTCCCCCACCCACCTGAGTGTTCTTGGGCATCTGCTGGGTCCACATTCTTATGGATGCCACTCCTGGGCCCACTGGTGAAGGTGGAGGGACAGTGGGCAGGTGGCCACATCACTTTTTGCAGGCCTTTCACTGCGTAACTCAGGGCGCCTCCGTTCTCATCAAAGCTGTTCCTGATTCGTATATTTATGATAACATTTTTCTGGCTGATGTAGGAGAATGTTGTGAGCCAAGGCCATGTCACCCATGTGGAGGCCATCAACAGAGTTGGCCATTGGGTTGGTGCCTTGCAGACTTGGATTTACCGTACAGGAAGGCATCTGCCTATGCAGGCATGCCTCACTTTGCACAGCTGCTGTCCCAAGAACTTGGTGCTGTTCTATGCCATGGTTTTAGGATCTACCCAGCCGGTGCCAGTCTCTCTTTTCTGGAACATTTCTGTGACGGCTGTCATAGAAGCAGAGAGAAGCCAGCAAAGGGCTGGGATTCATGGCATGTTAGAGCCTTCAGGCTGGAAGGACCCTTCACAGTCTTCTGAGCGCCCATCCCTGACAGCCTCTCGGTGGTCCTTCCACAGACCCATGCTCATGCCCTACCACACAGCTCTTGGGCTCTGACAGCTGTTCTGATGAGAAAAGCCTTTCCACTCCTGACCCCAGGCTGTTTCTTTGTGGCCCTGGTCCCAGGATGTCCATGGAAGGACCCTCATCTCTTCCTCTTTAGAACAACAATCAGCAAGTTGGAGGAACCTCAGAGGCCTATCCATTCCTGCCGGTGTAAAGACTTCTCTGGAACATCCTTGCAGGAGTGTCTGCCTTCTAGATTTCTTCCAATCTGGGGAACTCACCATTTGCTTGCCACTGTCCCTGGCTCTGTGACTGCCCAGAGACCCAACTGCCAGGAGCAAAAGGGTCAGGGCCCTTCCTCTCTTCAGTGGGGTTGGGCCCCCAACCCCTACCCCGGGTCCCACCAGGAGCCTGGCTCCTGGGCATGAAATCCAAAGTGGTACTGGGAGTTGTGGCTCCAGACCTGAGTCCTGAGTGTTGGGCAAGTTGGGAGCCCTTGGACCAGGATCAGGAGTGACTTGCTGAGGAAGTGACTTGCTTTGAAAGTCTTGCAAATCCATTCAGAGCCCAAACAAGCACCTCAGCATGGGGTGAGGAGGGGCTGCAAGCTGATGGAGCCGACTCCTTTTGGGCTTTCCCAAGACTTTTAGACAAATTCCAGGAAGTCAGCTAAGCCCCAACCTCCCTTTTTCTAAGAAATGCAGCAAGTGTTTATAATGTTCTCTGGAACCTCCTTTTTAGGACATCAATAACACAGAGAGAGAGACGGGAACTCTTAATTGTTAGAACAAGAAAGGCTGCTGGCTCCTTGGCTGCTGTTCTGTTTTACAAACCCAAAGAGACCACTGTTCCATTTGCCTTTCACAGCCTTCCGGTGTTTACATCTTCTTCAAGATTCAACCACCGTCTGTGTGTCTGGTGAAGTGTGTGGAGAGTCACAGCAGGCTCAAGTGAGACTGGCTGCCTCTTCCATGTGCTGTTACCTGAGCAGATTCCTTAATGCCTCTGGTCTTTGGATTCTTGCCTAGTGATGCTAGAATCTCCTTTGGGGATATTGCAAGGTTTAAAAGAGTTAACTCATAAAAGCCATTTCAGTTTGTACATCAAGAGTGGGTAAAGGTGTCTCAGACTAATGTTGGCTTATTGTTGTGTTTATTATTTTAACACTTGCCACTGATGTAGGGTTTTACTGGTCAGGGATGATAAATAAGGAAGTGAAGGTGGGAGAGGTCAGATTATTCACCCAAGTTACGTGGCTAATAAATAAGTGACACATACCAGGTGCTCCACCCACTTCCCAGTGCTTCCTGCTTGGACCAGGCAGATATCATCCTGGGACACCTCACATTCTCTGAGCCCTGCAGGGGGCTTACAGGGCCTCTCTTCTCATAGATGCCCAGAAGTGCGAGCTCATCTGCCAGTCAGAAAATACAGGGGACATAGTCTTCATGAACCAGGTGGTCCACGATGGGACACGCTGCAGCTACCGGGACCCCTACAGCGTCTGTGCCCGTGGAGAGTGTGTGGTGAGTGGCCCCTCGGGGCTGCCCACTTGCCACCAGCCCCAGGACAGTGGAGGGCTACATTGCCTGTCCCTCCTGCTGCTCCCTTTGAAACAAATATCCCCTCCCCCTTCCTACCCATGATACCCCTTTGGTCCTCAGCCTAACCCAGGGATGCTGGAAAGGGCTTAATGCTAGTCCCATTTGTGGGGAGAAGTCTGGGTTGGGTTTAAGACTTTGCCTGTGTCCCTTGGTGGTTTGTGGCTGAGCCCCCATCCAGTATGCTTCTTGGTTCAAGGTCCCTTTTATCTGGGGCCCGGGGACCAGGGAGGGAGCCAAGGGCCACTGGCCCTAGGGTGATGGGGGGCCTGGGTGCTGCCTCCTGCTGACCTCACCTCTGGTCTTAGCCTGTCGGCTGTGACAAGGAGGTAGGGTCCATGAAGGCAGATGATAAATGCGGGGTCTGTGGAGGCGACAACTCCCACTGCAGGACTGTGAAGGGGACGCTGGGGAAGGCCTCCAAGCAGGCAGGTGAGCAGGCTGGGACTGGGGGGATGACCAGGAACAGCTGGGGTTCTGGCTCAGCCAGAGTTCCTAGTACCTGAGCTGTCCTTCAAATGGCCCCCTCTTTCCTGGAGCCAGGCCACAGTTTAGGGTGGGGGAGAAGCCTATCTCCAGACCTTCCTATGCTTCCCATTTGGTCACCTTACCTTTGAGGCATGCAATTGCTAGAGTTTGGGCCTGGAATTTAGAAACTCCAGGAATATATTGGGATGGGAGTTCAGTCATCTCTTTGGCTCTGGGATTGTTAAGGGAGTGAGGGGTCCAGTCTCAGACTAGATGTAATTTTCTTTTCCTCTCTCACTTATTTTTTTAAAATCTGTATTGCTTCTTATTTTGAACTCTTGGTATCTTTGAGTTCCTTGATTTCCTTCCCTACCTCTAGTCTGGCCGAACCTACTCTTGAACAGGGTAAGATATTAGTCCTTTACACTTTAGTATGAGTTAGATCCATTTCTTCTTTGATGATGTTACAGCTTTGCCTGCCCTTTCCTTGTGGGAGGACAGCTAGGGCTCTGAGAGAGGGTTGTTTCTAAGCCTCAGGCTGGGAGGGCCCTGGAGACTCAGAGTAGCTATACTGAATCTTCACATCCTATTTCATCTAAATCTCTACATTAGCTTATGATGTAAGAAGAAAAGGGGAAAAAAATCAAGAGAGAGGAATCGGATCGAGAAGGTGGGAAATAACAACTAACACACACGCACACAGCTTTAGTTCATGGGCACTTTAAGCTGGTGTATCTTATTTGCTCTTATCAGCAGTGCCTTATAGAGAAGTGCCCATCCTTATTTTATAGATAAGGAAATTGAGATTCCTGGATACTCAGGGGGTCATGGGGGACGCTGGGTATGGGCCCACCAACTAGGATGCTCACTGCTTTTCTGGATACTCCTCTGTGACAGGAGCTCTCAAACTGGTACAGATCCCTGCAGGTGCCAGGCACATTCAGATTGAGTTGCTGGAGAAGACCCCCCACCACATTGGTGAGTACTGGAATGCTGGAAAAGGGACCTATCTTAGGTTCATGGGACCTAGGGGCAGAGGAATATATTCTAATGCAGGGGGGTTTCACAACTTTGAAAAATGTCAGCGAACCACTGTTTATTTCATTTTTCTGTGGGTCATCAATTTGGGGTGCCCTTAGCTGGGTGCATTTTCCACTTGTCTGCCTGGACTCCCTCATGCAAATGCAGTTCGCTGGTGGGTCTCTTGGGGTCTGGTTGGTCCTGCTGTCAGCTGGGGTCACAGGGCCATGTCCCCAGCAGGCAGCCCAGGATTATTCATGTGGTGTCTCAGGAGAGAGAAGGGTGTGCAAGCACTTTTCAAGCCTTGCCTCTCATCTTGCTTTCTAACGTCCAGTGGGTTATGTGTGTCTCATGTCCAAGCCCACAGGGTGGAAACACCCTATCTCTTGACAGGAAAAGTGGTGAAATCACATTACAAAGGTGTGTGCATACAGGAATAGGAGGCATTTGTGTCATTTTCACATGGCACAAGAGTCTACTGCATGGACTCTTAAATTATTGTCATTATAATAATACTTAAGCACATAGTTACTAGACTAGATGGCTGCCCCTATACTTACAACGGTATACAACTATCAACCTAGGACCGGTGAAAAGTTAGCACCCCTTCCCCCCGGAACTAAATGTTCTACAATATTCACAGCAGCATTATTTACAACAGCTAAGACATGGAAGCAGCCTAAATGTCCGTCAGTCAACATTTGGATCAAGTTGATGTGGAATATTACTCAGCTATAAGGAATGGGGAAATGTAACCAAATGATGCCTCAGAAAATGGAGAGAGTCTGAGAAAATTATGTGCAGTAAAGCAAGTCAGATTGATAAAAACAAATACTGGGTATTTACACAGCAGATGATTTGATAAAGTAAAATACTTATAAAAACTTGTGGACATTAATAAATACCATGGAGGTTCAGAGGGAGCAGGCAGGAAAGGAACAAGGGCACACGAGGGATGAGAGGGGAAAAAATGTTCTTCATTTTTGAACGATCAGGTTCTGACACAATTTTTGGCACAACTGGTTATAAATAAGCTTTGATTTAAATGACATGACAAAATAAAATTAGTGCCCCCAAATAAATCAATAAAATTCAAATTAAGAACATTATGTAATAGGAGAGATTTTTTGTTTGTTCATTTTGTTCTGGTATTGCTGAAACTAAATCAGCAGTCAGTCAAAAAAATGAACATCTCCAGAATAAGCAAGTCCATAGAGACAGAGCGTAGCTTACTGGTTGTCAAGGAAGTGATGGCGGGATTGGGTGGCAGGGAATGGGCACCGATTGTCAGTGGGTCTCAGATTTCTTTGAGGGGTGTTGCAAATGTTGTGGAATCAGATAATGGCAGTGATTGTACAACCTTGTGAACATACTAAAAAAAATCACTAAATTGCACACTTTCAAGACTGAATTGTGAATTGTATCTCAATTTAAAACCTGAGCATGGTTTGGGAGTAGGCGGGACAGGCAGCTGCCTTCATGTTGGGCAGTGGCTGGTTCTCCCACACTCTTGAACCCCTTAAGGAAGTGCCACACACCTACCATTTATTAAGTGCCTCTTGCGAGTCATGCACTGTGCCTAGGTCTTTACTGGGATGAACACCTATAATTCTCCTAAGAGTCCCATGGTGGGGTGGGAATGGGGCATTGCTTTTATATTCATGGGAGTGCAGCCCTATTATAATGATAGGTACAACTATCATTCCCATTTTGCCGATGGCGAAACTGAGGCAGCTTAGGGAGGCTGTGTAACTTCCCCACAATCTATCTGACTCTACAGCCTGTACCCTTAAACTTCATGCTTTGCTCTAGAAATTCTAAAGGGGGCATAATCCCCGAGGACTGAGCAGTCAAAGGTTTCATGGAAGAAGGGAGAATTGTGCTGAACCTTAACTAGGGGTGGCAATTAGTCAAACGAGAAGACAGTGAGGGTGGTGGGATAGGTGCACCAGGATCCAGAGGCAGAATGTGGGGGGAGGGCAGTGTGGTGACCTGTCTGCTGGGAAGGAGTAACCTGTCTGATGAGGGGCCTCCTGGGAAGGCCTTGAAACCCCTGAGGAATCTGATGTATGCTCCTGTGAAGGGGAACAGAAATCTGTGTGTCTTCTCCCCCTGGCCAGCGGTGAAGAATCAGGTCACAGGCAGCTTCATCCTCAACCCCAAAGGCAAGGAAACCATGAGTCGGACCTTCACCTCAATGGGCTTGGAGTGGGAGTACTCGGTGCAGGACGCCAAGGAGAACCTCAAGACCAACGGGCCCCTGCCTGAAGCCATCGCTGTCCTGGTGAGCCCCACTCTTTGTGGCAGCCCCTGCCTACCCCCTTGCTGCTCTAGCCTGTCCCCCTAGTTCACAGTCTGCTGCCATACTGGCTTGGGCCTGGTGGAAATCCTCTCTTTCTAGTATCATCAGGGTCCTGGATAAGGTCAAGGTAGCTCTCTGCTCAGATGCTGGCAGGATGACAAGTGAAAAGAGGAAAATAAATGTTTGTCTCACTATCAGATCAGAAACACCACACAGTGTCTGTTCTCCTTAACGAAGGGTCAGAAATGGGGCTGGGAGGAGTGGGAGAAACCTGGGCTGGTTCCCGGTGGTTCCTGGCATCTGCGGCATTGTGGCATTGCCAACAAGTAAGTCCAGGGCTGGTTTCCTGTGACTTCCAGGGCAACTGACCTAGGGATGCCATCTGGTACTGCTGGTCCTTGAGGACCACCGTCATGCCTGGGATCCACCACTACCCACACCTTTCTCTTCCTAAACCATAGACCAGGGCTCATGGAGCAATGACTGCTAACCCAAAAGACCAGACCAGGAGGGGCCCTGGCTGCAGTGCCCTTGGCGCTGGCCCATGGAGGGACTGGGGGCAGGTTCTGTTCCTGATGATGCCCTCACCACTTGGGGAGTCCTGAAGGACAGGGTCTGAGGCCTACTTAGGGTCTGAGGCATTTTAATTAGATCCTATGCATATTTTCTATTCCCCCTATATTTATCAGTCACCCAAACATCTCTTGGTTTTCAATGAGGGTTTTGAATTCATTCAGTGGGAGTGAGAATAGTCTCTTAGATTAATAATGCTAGGACAACTGGATATCTACATGTAAATGAATGAAGCTGACCCCTGCCTCACATTACATATAAAATTAACTCAAATCGAAAACTTATATATAAGTTTATATTATTATAAGAACTAAATAATATTATATAATATTATTATAAGAACTAAAACCATAGAACTGTTAGAGAAAACAGAAGGCTACATCTCATGACCTTGAATTCTTAGATATGACACCAAAAGCATGAGCAACAAATTAAAAAATAGTTAAATTGAGCGTCATGGAAATTGAAAATTTTTGTACATCACAGGACATTGTTAAGAAAGTGAGAAGACAGCCTGGGAGAAAATATTTGCAATCATAAGGCTGATAAGCCTCTAGTGTCCAGTGTGTTTAATAGACCATCTTTTAGTCACAGGCAGTATGGATGCTCTGCTCACTGGGGCAGACCAAAGGATACAGTTCCTTTGTTAGAACTTAGGCCTGGCACACACTGGGTGCTTAGCTTCAGTTTGCTGAGTGGCTGCTAGTTTGAATGGTCTCCTGGGCCACACTCAGTGCTGCCCTCCTCCTGGCTCTCACAGGCTCTGCTTCTGGCCTGTATCCTTCCCTTTCACCCCTCCACCTCTGCTCGCCTTGTTTCTCTGTTCTCCAGTCCTGTGCCACCTCCTCCATCTCCCTGCAGGTGCTCCCTCCGGCTGAGGGTGGCCCCCGCAATAGCTTGGCCTACAAGTATGTCATCCATGAGGACCTGCTGCCTCTTATTGGGAGCAACAATGTGCTCCTGGAGGAGACGGACACCTATGAGTGGGCACTCAAGAGCTGGGCCCCCTGCACCAAGGCCTGCGGAGGAGGTACCAACTGCCCCCGCCAGCAGTCCTCACCACCCAGCTGCCTGTGTGGGCAGCCTAGGGCCTCTCAGCAGGAGAGGAGCAGGAATGGCTGGGGGGAAAATGTCTCCACTTAACATAACCCCAGCTCATACCTCAGATTCTCTTTAAAAATCTCTGGGGTGTAGGGCCTTTAGGATGAGGGCGGTATGCCCCAGGAGGGTGGTATGCCCCAGAAGGTCTCACCGGCCATGTGGATACTACACCAGGGCTCATGAGATGGACTGATCAAGGAAACAATGCCTTGGGCAGGAAGGGGGCAAAGGTACAAGGAGGTGGGATTACCCTCTAGGGTCTCTAGAGTTTACCTTCCTGGAGGCCCCAGGCTGGGCAGCGGCAGAACCCCATGCAGCTTGCCCTCTCCACAGGTATCCAGTTCACCAAATATGGCTGCCGGCGCCGCCGAGACCACCACATGGTGCAGCGGCACCTGTGTGACCACACGAAGAGGCCCAAGCCCATCCGCAGGCGCTGCAACCAGCACCCGTGCCCCCAGCCTGCGTGAGTGCTCCTAAGGGAGGATTAGGAGCCTGGTTCCATGCCCCTAGGTGTCACAGACCCTCTCTCAGTCCTGGTCCCAAGTGGAGAAGTGCAGCTGAGCCTGCTTCCTCCAGCACTGCTGCTCAGAGGCGCTGGCCATTGCAGGCAGGACTCCCAGGAGGAAGATGCTTCCTTTGTTATGTCTCTCTCTGCATTCTTTTACAGATGAGGAAACCAAGGCCCAATTTGGGCACACAACTTCCCCCAATGTTTGAGGGAAGGGGTTCCATGGAGGTGAAGTAAATTTCACTGCTTGAGGCTCTGTGCACCAGCTCCTCGCAGCCCACCCATCTGGGGCCCAGGGCCACAGCCTGGTCTGTGGAGCTCCAGCCCTGATGAGCCCCTAGCTGGGATTCCTTGGCAGGAAGATACAGGTGCTTGTGAGAATAAGGCCATGTTCTCAGGGTGATTTGTAGGGTACTTCGAGGAATGGCATGAGTTGTGACTTGTGGAGGGTTCCAGGTCAGGCTTCTGAGTCTGTCAGAGCCGGCTCCCAGACTTCTTCTGCCCCACCAGGCTTTAATCACCCCCTGGCAGGACCAGTAGGACACTATAGAGAGCAGGGTCCGTTTCCACCTTCACGGAGGCCCTTCCCAGAGCAGCTGGCCGTCAGCAGCTCCTATCTCCTCAGGCTGGGGGACCCCAAGGCCAGTTGTATGATCAGGACCAGCGTGGGAGCTGGTGACCAGCTCAGCCTCTTTGTGCCTGGCCATGATCCCCAACCCCCAAGTCTTCCATGATTTTCTGTTATGTTTTGCTTTACATAGTTATTCCCTTACACATGTCTGTGAACCTGGAGCATGGGGGACCCACTCTGCTTGGGTGTCCAGGCAGGTCCCCTCAGCTTGTTTCCTTACCCCTAAAATTGCCAAATGAAGTTTGAGGGCTTTTTGGTTTTGTTTCATAAAGAAAGGGGTTGGCTGGAAAAGCCCTGATTTACTAGAAGATGCCTCAGGAAACTAAGAGAGGAATGGGAGTCGGGGCTGCCTTCCCCACCCCACTAGGGAAGTGTTGCTATGTCTAATTCATCCAATGGGCATATGCGCAAGATGCTGTTGGAGGTTGCTTTGTGACTTAAAGACACTTGAAGACTCTCAGCTGATAGTGCTACAGCTGTGTGGATAGTGATGGAGACAGTCTTAGTGCCTGCATTTATTGCATCTCTACTGCAGGCCAAGTGCTGTATGTAATCACAGGCTTTCATTGTGTTGACTGATAGTGACGTCTCAATAATAGTTAGACAAAGAGTTTATTAGGTAATAAGTGAGGCTTAAAACTCAGGAAGCAGTCCCACAGATTTTACTCCATGAGAGCTATTCCAATAAATACAAATTGGAATTTAGTTTATAAGTAGGAACAGTGAGTCATTGACATTAAAAATGTAATTATTCTTGATAGGAGGGACTTCTAATTCCAAGTTGTCTTGACCTAAAGATATGTTGATATTAGAGGAAGGCCATGCAGGATTTAATTTCCTCTTTTCTAAAGAAACACTGCAGAAATGCAAAGGCTGGGTACCCATTGTTAAATTTTTTTGGCTCCTTGGTCATTAGTGGGGGTGAAAGCACTGGCTTTACCTGCAGGCATCAGATTTTGTATAACTGCCAGACTTAAGTCTTAAGTTTGGTTTTCTAGGCTGGGAAATTGTACAATATATTCACAATTGTGCCAAGATCCCTGGGGAGAGAGTTCTAATATACAGTTTGTGATTTTCATCTGTTCTGTGCACTGCTGTAGCTCAGTACCTAGGACAGTGCCTGCACAAGGTAGACACAAATATTTATGAAATGTCTAGAGAATCCTGATGTGAAGACAGGGTAGCTTAGGCTTAGAGGGGTTAATAGCTTGCTCAAGGACATGCAGGGCAGCAGGATTTAAATATGCATTATACCCATTTTTTGGATAGGGAGACAGAGGAGAGAGTAGTGACTTTCCTGAGGTCACACAGCCCAGCAGCTGCAGAGCCAGGTTACCTGGTCCCAACCCACTCTGGTGCCTTCCTATAGTGGTTCTGGGGATCCCACCCACCCTCCACTTCCCACCCTCTCTGTTTCCAGCTGGGTGACAGAAGAGTGGAGTGCCTGCAGTCGGAGCTGTGGCAAGCTGGGGGTGCAGACTCGGGGGGTGCAGTGCCTGCTGCCCCTTGCGAATGGTACCCATAAGGCCATGCCAGCCAAGACCTGCCCTGGAGATCGGCCAGAGGCCCGGAGGCCCTGCCTTCGGGTGCCCTGTCCAGCCCAGTGGCGGACGGGAGCCTGGTCCCAGGTGAGTTGTCTGAAGAGTGTGGGAGGGGCTGTGCCAACTGGGCACCCATTCTCTGGGGGTCTGGGTGTAAGAAGTTCTGTGAGATCTGGTGTTTCTACAGGCAGTCTTTCTGGTTGATTTTTTCTTTCTATATCTGATCTGGTTTTTCTCAAAACTCTGCCAAACAGCTCTTACATAGCCTGGGCCCTGGCTCCAGGCCAAACCTTTACCTCCATTATTCCCTATCCTCTGTAACCCTTATGCCACGCTATGAGGTATGGGCTAATATCCTTTTGTTACAGATAAGCAACTTAAGGCACATCCTTGCACTTAATAAATATTTTCTTATCACCAATTATGTGCCAGGAACACTGTAGAGCTAAGAATGCCAGGAATCCACATCTACCAGACAGACCTGGTTCGTGTCACATGGAGCTCAGAGGCCAACAAGGGAGACTTAAGAGAGACCTAAGGGACAAGTAAATGAATAATAAAACCATTTCAGATTGTAGTTAAAACTGGGTGGGCAGTAAATAGTACTGCAATCTTGAGTCTGGGGTGGTCAAGGAGGGCTTCTCTGAGGAGGTGACATTTGAGCTGAGAACAGAGGGATGAGCTGTAGGATGATCCTGCCCCATAATCCAGGCCCTGAGGCCCCCTGAAGTTATGTGGGGTGGTGCATGGCAACAAGTTTTATGATACACAAAAAATTTAAGGACCCAGGCACAGGTGACGCATAGTGGATCCGTTGCAGTGCTGGGATGGAGCGCCGGAGGACACCTTCCAAGCCAGGGCGAACCATTTAGGTGGTGGAAAAGTACTGTTTACTGCCTGGCACAGGAGCACCAGCCAGTTTGATGCTGTGTTCTAGGGCTGTTGAGTCCTTGCATGTCCCTCAGGTCATGGGGATTTGGCACCCTTCTCTGCACCCTTTCTTCCCTGGCCATTGACTGCCTGTGGAGCTCAGTGACCCCTCTTCTTTCTCTCCCCTTACCCTCCGTGACCAATGGGCCTGACCTGGCCCTTACCTGGCCATGGCCCACCCATGACAGTGCTCAGCCACCTGTGGAGAGGGCATCCAGCAGCGGCAGGTGGTGTGCCGGGCCACCTGCGCAGGGGACAAGCCAGACTCCGTCCAGGTCTGCAGCCTGCCCGCCTGTGAAGGTGAGCAGGATAGGAGCGGGGGAGGCCCCCGTTCTCTGGCCTAGACCTGAGACCCAGCCCCACTTACTCCTGGCCCCCTAGAAATCCCAAATACTAGAGCTGCTTCTCCCCACCCATAGGAAATCTCCAGAACGCCACCATGAAGGCTGACATCTGGGAACTTGTGACCGCAGAGGGGCAAGAGGTGTCACGGTCTGGGCCCCCACATCTTATTCACAAGATACCATCAAGTAAGTATATCTCAGGCCTCCACCGCCTCCCCAACCTTCTGGCCGGGACGGCCTCACAAGCAAGGGCCATGCAGTGGAGCAGACCAGCTTCCAGTCTGACCTGAGAGCTTGGCCTCCTGGGACCTCAGATTCCTCAGGTGTGAGGTGGGATCATGCTCATTCCTTCGCTGTGACTCCAAAATGCAGAAAGCTGCAAATTTCCCTAAGTTTGATGGAAACTCATTTGGCAGCAAAATCTGACCTAACTAACAAGTTTCCTTCACAGAAACATTGCTATATGTAGTTGCAAAGAGAAGTCCCCATTCCTACTGGGATGTCATGTAACAATATGAATACATGGGTATGCATATTGTTACTGCTCTAGCCCAAAAGTTCTGGATTCGGAATCATATCTAGTTCTAAGATTTTTGAATAACATTTGTAGATCTGAGCTGCCTTCACAGGGCTGTTGAGAGAATCAAATAAGGCATCCTGCCAAGCTGTCAACTAACAATAAAAATACTAATTGCTCTCTGCCTCACGATCAGGAGTCCATCAGTCTGTCTGTCCATCTATCCATCCATCCACCCTTCCAGCCACTCATCTATCCACCCATCCACCTCTCTATCCATCCATCCGTCTACCCGTCCACCTGCCCACTTGTCCATCCATCCACCCACCTATTTATCAATCCATTCCTCTCCCATCCATCTATCCTAATTTTTCTTCTTTACTTCCCCCCTTCCTTTTCTTTTTCCATTAATAAATATTGGCTGAGCACCTGCTATGTACCAGGCTTTATGTTCTATGTCCCCTCCCTCCATTCCTTCTCTCTTTTCCTTCCTCACCTTCTGAAGGACCAGTGTCTGACAAGATGAGTAGCAGAAAAATCATGTGACCTTGTGCAAATCCCTGAACCTCTCTGAGCTCAGCAAACTCATCTGTAAAATAAAGGGGCGTGACTAAGTATCCTCAAAGGCTCTTCTGGCTCCTGCTGCCCTGCTCCTGTGCTGAAGCTCAGGCTGTGCAAGTCCCTGGTTTCCTTCCCGTTTCCTCCCCAGTGCACAGGGTGGGACTCCGATTCTAGGATTCTGGCACCATCTAGCGGCCAGTGACTTCCAGTTTTTCTAGGCTTCCTCCTATTCCTAACTGCCTCCTCCTCCCCTCCTGCTTTCCTGTCTCCTTCCTCCCTCGCTCATTCCCTTGCTGTTGTGCACATAGAACTTAGTAACAAGCAGAGCTTCTGCCTGCACATTGCCTGGAGAGACTTACTTGGAGTTATCACAAAACAGAAGCGCATTTTAGATTATATTTTAAAGTAAGCAAAACTACTATAATGAGCACCACTCAGTGCCAGGAACTTTATAAATGTTATTTATAATGACAATGTTATTATTCATTGATAAATGTCAGGGTTACCCCCCTTTACAGAAGAAACTAGAGTTGGAAAGTTTAAGTGACATGCCTAAGGCCTTGTTGCTTTTAAGTGATAGAGACTGATTGGAAGCTGAATCTGCCTGAATCCAAATGCCTTGCTGGAGGGTTTATTGTTTCAAATGTGTGCTGACTGGAGACAGGATTTTGAATCTGTTTGTCTCATGGATGAGTTACCTGGGCATTTGCTGGCTCTGCCTGAAGTGGATCAAACTCCTCTGGGTGAAGTGGGAGAGAGCAAAGTCTCCCACTTCTATCTGGCAGGGTTCCCACCTTGCCGCAGGCTAGACTATACCAGTGCCCAGGCTACTCCCGACTTGTCCAATCTCTCTGTTGTAGGAGGAAGGTAGAAGCTTTTGGAAGCTTCCAGGTCATTCCAGTTTGCTGCCAAGTCTGAGGACTAATGTAGGGCTGTGGCTCTCATATTTTTGCATGCCCTGGAATCACCTTGAAGGCTTTATTAAAGCACAGAGCTACCATCCTTGGCCTCCCCACCCCTAGCATTTCTGATTTATTAAGTCTGTGGGGTCTGCGAATTGGCATTTTCAACAAGTTTCAGGTGATACCTGCTTGGAGAGCCATAGCTCTAAGGGGTCCTCTCTCTACCAAATCACAAGGGCTCTTACTGGGGCTGGTTCTCCTGTCAGGTAGCCTGTAGCCCCCTGGAATAAAGCCCTCCAGCAGGAGATAGCAGGCCTGTAGCTGGTGGGTTGAGTGGGAGGTGGGGGCCTGTATCCTTGCTGATGGGCTTCTCCCAGCATTGGTCCTTGTGTCGTGTGTGCAGCGGAGCCCTGCGTGGGGGACAGGTCCCTCGTCTGTCAGATGGAAGTGCTCGATCGTTACTGTTCCATCCCTGGCTACCACCGGCTGTGCTGTGAGTCTTGTACCAAGAAGGCCTTGGGCATGGATGTGAGCCCGGACCCTAGACTGTCCTCACTACCACCCTTATCCACTCCTGGGACCTCCATGCCAGGACCTACGGTCCCTCCAGATACTGTGGAGTCCTCTGGGAGACCAACAGGATCAGACGGCCATCAGCATAGCCGACCCACACAGCTCCCAGAACCTCTGGACACAAGCACCCCAGTGACTCAGCACCCCTTTACTCCCCAGAAACAGGGCCCTGGAGCATTCTGGGGCACATCCCCAAGCACCTCTGGGGGGCAACCTTGGAGTTGGACAGGGTCACCTATACCAACTTCTGACAATAAGGAGCAGCTCAGGGAAGACCCAGAGCACTTGGGCACCGGCATGCCCACCACCTCCCCAGTCACATGAGCCTCCTAGCCTAGTCCACCAGTCATGTTTACACTCTGCTGCCCCAGAGACCCCAACTCAGAGAACACACAGCGGGGCAGGACAAGCACAGTCTTCCTTTTAAATTATTTGCCTACTTGGTGTTCTAGTTTGGGGCTGTGACACTTTTTACCCTATAAAGAAGGGGTTTAAGGCAAAAAAAAAAGATCAGGGAAAGCCCCAACAAGAGATACCTCAGCAGGCAGCCCAGGAGTCGAACCTCTCCGAGACCCCTGTCTATCTCTCCTTCCAGGGGAGGGCCAGCGAATGCCCCCTCTTCATAGCCACTGAACCCTGGGCAGAGCTAAAGCCCCACACTGGACCCATCAGCTACCTGCCTTGGCCAGAACTTGTGAGGATTCCTGTGGAGGCCCCATCTGTTGGGCTTTCTGCTCAGAGAGGCAAAGCAGGACCTGGGAAGGGGAGGGGAGCATTCACAGGGCATTCTGAGAGGAAGGGGCTAGGGGAGAATGTAGTTGTGAGGACCTGGCTGCAGGGCTGGCATAGGTCGAGCCAAGTTATCCCCATTCTTCATAGAGACAGTTCCACACAGCTCCTCCACACAAAGGCAAGGAGCAGAGTCCAGCTTGCCTTTGCTGGTTGGGGGGCTGTGTCCAGGTTCAGCTCTGCCCCTGCAGATGGCACTTTCTGTTACTTCTGGTGCCTCCAGGTCACAAGGCAGACCCCCCCAATCTCATCCTAGCCCACCTGAGAAGGGGCTCGTGACACTCTGGAATGTGTGGCTTCCTCAATCTGGACCTTCCCAATGGTGCTAAACTCCTGGCTAGACCAGGAAGGGCAACTTTCGTCATCATTTCAGGGCATGAATGGGAGTCCAGCCTGGAAGGGGACGGTGGGAAACAGATGATGTGAGTTGGCTTTGCCTTTCCCATCATTACCCTTCTACAAAGACCACTGCTGCTGGAGTCAGGGGTCTTCGTCCACATGGCTTAAGGGGTCTTCTTCATCCACATGGCGGGGCCAAAGGTCTGTCATGCTTGGATTGTAGGGTGGGGGTGGGAGGATTCTGGCCTCATGGCTGAAGACCAGAGCTCATTAATAGCCAGGCCTTGTAGATAACAAAGGCCATCCAGGCCAAGTGACCCAGGGCAGGATGTGAGTCTCTTACCCACACTGTAAGGCCTCCGCTGTGCTTGGTGTTACCTCCAAGGCAGGTGACTTCCCTAGGCTCTCAGGAAGCTGCCCTTGTTCCCAGGTTACTCCCCACCCCCACTCCCGGGGTCTCACTCTGAGTCATACTGAGGGTTTCCCAGCAGGTGATAGAGGTGCTTTCCAGTTCTTCCTTCCCCAGGGCAAAACGGCTATTCTGAGCCAGGCTAGAGAAATAGGAGTATATTCACCCTATGGAGAATAGAAGCCAGAGACGAAGCTCCCAGGTGCCTTCTCTACCTGCTGCCCACCCCTTCCTGGGATGCTGGGTTCACACTAAATCATTCCCGTGAGGCCCAGCCTGCCTGTGTGTGTGGTGTCAACTTTTGTGCCTTCGAGATCCAAATCTTTACATTTTTATGTATTTATTAATATTGCCCTTGGTGCTTTGTGTTGGATCAGAAAACAGTGTGTTGTGTTTTTCTTTTCTCTGTTTTGGAGGAGAGGGACAACAAAGCCAGAATTCTAATGTGCTGGGCTAGGCTGTAGCAAGATGATTGGGGTGGGGGTGTATAGGGTGGGACTGGAGGCACAAGAAGACTCAGCCCCCTTACTTGGTCCTGCCACCATCCAGAATTTGGTCCAAAGGGTGGAAGTGCCTGGAGGTAGTTTTGGGGTCTCTATAGGGAAGAGTGTTCTAATTAGTAGAGCTATTCAAACATGCAAGGGAAGATGATGAGAGCTCTTTCCCTGAAAAAGTCAAAGCAGAACATGAGTCCCTAGCAGGAGATGGGAGGATTGTAATGCAGCTTATTAGGCAGGGTGGGCCCCTGTGAAATGTCTTGGAAGATGTAAAACTCCTGGAGGATCCACACCTCACTCCTTGCCAAGTCAGACATCACTAATCCATCACCACACTCTTTCAATGAGTGTATCATGGACCTTTCCATAACATTTATAGAACCAGGACAAGGGCACAGAGACCCTCTTAAGGGACCTCAATGCTTGTGTGGGGGTAGTCAAAACCTCAAGTTCAAGCTCCATTTTTATCCATCGGCAAACAGTCTCCCCTTGGGAACTACTCCTTTTAAACAGCTGCCACTTGGGCCTAAAGGTATATGTAGGATGACCCAGTCCAATCAGAGGGGGCTGGCCAGGAAGATGTTAGGCCAGGCCCTGAAACTGCACTTGGGACTGTCCAGGCAACAAGTTCTGTGGTCCCATGTGCCAAAGGATGGCCTGCAACAAGAAGGCCTGTGGGCACCCTGGTGGACACCCGCCCTTGGACCAGAGCTTTCCTTGTTGTGGGAAGTATGGGCAGAGTGAATCCCTCCAAGTGCCCTAGCACCTTGGCACATTGCATGGGGCAGGATTAACTCAAGGAAATGCTTGCTGATGTGTTCCCAACATATGCCCATGGCAGGCATAGCAAATCCATCACTGCACTCACACCCCTTCCCCACCCCCACTGAGTCCAGATACACTTAAGAATCCTTCACATATTGTTCCAGTAGTGACCTCTGATGGACTTGCCAGGACAAGGAGCTGCCATGTTGGGTTGGATCAGTAATTTAAAATTTTATACCATTGAAAACTTTTGTTCAATGAACTTCTTAGGCAGAAGCTCAACATCTCAAAGCAGGATTGCAGTGCTTGAATTTAGGAAGAGAGACTCAGAAAATAGTCTCAAGGAGTTTTTACTCACCTTGAGGCCCCCACAGAGTCCAATGTGGGTGGCTGAGAAAGCTCTAAAGAGCCTTGGGACCTAAAATTCTGAGGAACCCTGAATTTATCTGCTCACCTGAAAAATGGGAGTGAAAGCATTTGCCTTGATAACATTGAAAACAGCACAACCAGAAAATGCAGGGGGCGATGATGACAAAAATGCCTCCCGTGGTCACTGGGTTATTCCTCGAGTGGGCATAGGGGAACCAGTAGCAGGGACTGTTGGCTGAGCCATAGTAGTGGCGCAGTAGAGTCAGGGCTCCCCAAGAGTCCACCTGTCAGTTTTGCCCCTTTTTCAGGCTCCTTGTGGCCTCCCACCCCTGCAGGCATGGTCAGCCTGGAACTTGGAAGCCCAAGTCACCACTTAGGATCTAGAAACCACAGGAGACCACCACACCCACCCTAACAATGAAAGAAAGACCGATAAGCTACGAAGTCGTATTTTTCAGCTCCTCAGAGGGCTGATGTTGCAAGGCAAGCAGCTGAACTAAATTCTAAAGGGTGACAAACCCCCTGTGAGAAGAGGCAGGACACACATGCATTTCCTCCACTCTTTGAACATGGAGATAGCGAGCATGTACACAGGTAAGAAAAGACAACTGAAATTTTAACAGATTTTTAAATGTTACTGTGACCATTTGGAATCATCAAGGCACCATGTACTAGGACCTACTCATCAGCTCCTGTCCACAGGCCTCTCCTGGATGCATACAAGGAAAAGCTGGGGCAGGACAGGGGCCCACAAGAGCACCCCCTGAGGCTCTGAACAAGTTTGAGAGTGCAAATAAAAATGCAATACCTGTTTACAAGCATCAGGAACACAATGCTTTTCTGTACAAGTATAAAAAACTACAGGGCCTTGCTGAGGCAGACACGGAAATATCTAAACAGGGTAGACTGTTTATGAATCAGTCTCATTAAGATGCCAATTTTCTCCAAAATGACCTATACATTTAAGGCTATTCCCATCAATTCCAACAGAATTTTAAAAAAGAAATTGACAAAAAGATCATATAGCTTTTGTGGAAATGAAAAAGATTTAAAATAGCCAAAACAATTCTGAAAAAGAATTAAGTTGGTGGTGCAGGGGTTAAGACACTGAGCTATCAAGCTATCGCCAGCCACTGCAACACGAGTTGGATCCCCAGGCGACTAGGTTGCTGACCCACATGGCGCACCAGACCTCTCCTGTCTCACCCATTGCTCCCCTCAGCAGTGTATTTCAGTAGATCTGCCTGCTCTGCTCCCCATTTTCTCTGGTGAATCCTCTCACCCCACGCACCTCTGGCTTACATCCCAGTTTTTGTATGCATAAATAAATAAATCTTAAAAAAAAAAAACAAAGTTGGAGAATTTACACTACCTGATTTCTAGATTATTGGGAGTCACGATTGTATGGCATTGGTGTAAGACTAGACAGAGAATAATGGAGTAGAATAGAAAATCCAAAAATAAACCCACACAAACTTGGTCAGTTTTTAACAAGGTACGAAGGTGATTCAATTGGGAAAGGATTGTCTTTTAAGTAAGTGATGCTAGGGCCTCCCCGGTGGTGCAGCGGTTGAGCACTGGGTTGCGAAGATGCCCGCAGCCTCTGCAGCACCGGTTCTATCCCCGGCTGCTCCCTGGCCACCAGAGGAGGGTCCCACATGGCGCGCAGACCTCTCCTGCCGCCTGTTGCTCCCCTCAGCAGTGTACTTTGGTCCTTCTGCCATAAATAAATAAATTTTTAAAAAAGAATATTATAATAAATAAATAAATAAATAAATAAATAAATAAATAAATAAAGTGATGCTAGAAAAATGGAAGATCCATGTGGAAAAAAATAAACTTCAACCCTCACTTCATATCATATGCAAAAAGTAGCTCATTCAAAATGAATATAGTTTATTACCCATAGGTAATAAACTATAAAATTCCTGGGAGAAAACATTGTTGAAACAAATTTCTGTGACCTTGATTAAACTCTGAAAGCACAAGCCACAAAAGACAAGATTGATAAAACTGGACTTGATCAAAACTGAAAATGTCTACTCTTCAAAAAACAATGGTAAGAAAATGAGAAAACAAAACAAAAGCTGGGAGGAAAATATTTCACACCAAATATTTGGTATCAAACTTGTATTCAAAATATGTAAAGAATTCTCAAACGACCTAATAAAAAATGGGTGAAAGATTTGGACACTTTTCCTAAAAAGATACATGAAGACAAGTAAGGTACATGGAAAGGTGCTTGGCATCACTCGTCCTTAGGGAAATGCAATTCAAAGCAGCAGGGAGATACTATCTCACCTATTCACTATTTCTACCTATTAGAACCACCTAAATTTAAAGGTTTGATCCCATGGGGTGTTGTGAAGACTGTGAGCAACTGGAATGCTTATGCTTTTTAGTGGGAATGCAAAGTGGCACAACCACTTTGGAAGACATTGGGACTGTTTCTTATGAAGTTAAACATACACTTACCCTCAGCTCAGCAATTCTTCCTCTAAGCATGCACAGGAGGGAAATGAAGACACTTGTCCATAAAACAACCTGTATGCAAATGTTCATGGCAACTTTATTCAAAATAGAAACTGAAAACAACCCAAATATGTGTCAGATAGTGAGTGGATCAGTAAACGGAGGCACATCCTTACAATAGAATATTATTCAGCCACAGAAAGGAATAAACTACTGGTGTGTTTGTAATACTTCTGTTCAGATAGATCTAACAAGCATTTGTGCTAAGTAAATAAACCTAGGTCCAAAAGCCCATACATCAGGTGATTCATGTGTTCTGGAAGAGATAAAACAACAAGGATAAAAAACAGATCACTAGTTGCCAGGGCCGGGATGGGAGAGAGATTGACTGGAAGGGGCAGGGGGAACGTTTTGGAGTAATGGGGGTACTCTCTATGTGATTATAGTGGTGGTTACACTCTGAATAAATGACACAGATTTTTAAATGAACTTTCTTATTTGCAAGTTTTATCTCAATAAAGAATCACTTTTAAAAGTCACATAACCAAGACAATGGGAGATGTTGGGTCCCCCCAAGATCTCTGAGAACACACTGCTATTTTCCTGCTATTGGGCAGACCCAATTCTTCATTATCTTTTCCTAGGGGAAAACACCTGCTCCACTCCCTCAATTGGACAGGGATTTATTTGATTCCCAGCAGCCCAGAGAAGGTATTGCTGGCTCGAGGGGCAATCTTGCTTAAAGCCTTTTCTCATTGTTTACTATTCAGGTCAGCCCAGTATCCCTCTAGGGAGCCCCCTGTTGCCTTAGTTGCTCCTCTGTGATCCTGCTCTGGGGGATCCTGCACCCAGAGCATCCTTCTTGGGTGTGGCCTATTGGTCTCCACCACTCACTGAAAACCCCTGAGAGCAGGAGCTGATTCTCTAGCTCGGAGCCTGGCACACAGAAGCACACAGTAAATGAATATTGAACTGTAGGTGGGTGCGTGGAGTGAAGAGTGGACGGCTCCGGGAGAGTTTCCCACTGGACCCTGGGCTGGACTGAAAAGGGCTTTGGCCCTGGGGTTCCGCCTCTCATCTGTACCTGCTGACACAGTCTCATGGGGTGTCAAAGGTCGTCAAGTCATGACTACCTCAGTTCCAGCAGGACCATCAACTCAGCACAGTGAAAGAGCATCCACAGAGACCTGGAAATTCACCTCCAGGGCAACCATGAGGAGGAGACTTTTTCCCTTTTAGTGTTCCTGCTCACTTACATAGCTCCATCATCCAGAAAAT